GAAGAAGAACAAATTGTGTATTTTGAACATTAAGGAATTTAGTAAAAGGGAGAATATTTACAAAAGGTAGGACTCTTAAATTTAATTTTTAAATAAGAGAATAGAGATAGATTTGTTTCTTAAAAGAAATAGAGAAAAATTGTATTTTTAAATTATTGATTAAAATAAATAATTAATTATTTAACATTTAATATCATCATACAAAATTTGTTTGGCACCTGTGCATGTTTTTAATGAAAAACTAATATGTGATAATATCACATACTAAATCATAAGTGATTTGTGTTGATCAATAATTTAAATAGATAATTTTTTTTTTCTTAAGGATAAAACTATCTTTACCTTTTATTTAAGGGGTCAATTTTGGGTTTTGACCTTTACAAAACATGGTTGAAAGAGCTATGGACTTTGAATGCACTTTTCAGCAAATGTGAAGTGCAGATTGAGGTATCACCAGACATTACTGTGAGATTTATATTACGAAGATCTATCTTAGATGTAATTAAGAAAAAATATGATAGTTTTGAATATCCAAACTCACAAAAAATACATGAGTGTTCGTTTTTTAGGGCAACTTAATTTCTTTTTTTCTAAAAGAAAAACTTAATGTTGGTTGTTTGTGGTTTTGTTTATGGATAGAGAGATTTGTAGATGTGGATGGATGGTGCTGGATGATGACAAACCGACAAATATAGAGAGAGTTATGGATGAATTTATAGACAAGTTGTGAAGAAATATATTTACAAATGATAAATTTGTTGATAGATGGATTTATGAACCGATGAATTTTTTAATAAATTAAAAATGATGGATAAATTTGTATGCATGGATGGATGGTAGACGAACAAACTTTGAACAAACAGATTTATGGATGGATAGATTTATGGATTGATAGATACGGACCTATTTTAAGACATATAGATTTATGAGTGGATATCTAAGGAAATGATTTTTGTATAATTTTTTTATCTTTTTTTTTTTTTTTGTACAACTTGATATGTCATTGTAATGATTAGTTCTTTTAATTTATGTGAAATTTTTGATATTAAATATATTCACCTATTTAATAACATATGAAAGTTATATAAAAAAATAAAATAAAAAATTTATGTTTATAACACCACCAAATATTTATAGACAGATTTATGGGTGATTGTGAACGAGTGGATATATTTATGGGTGGTTGTGGACAAACAGAGATAGATTTGAAGATGAATTTACCAATGGACAAAGGAATGAGTTTGTGGATGGATAGACAAATAGATTTGTGAACATAGATAGATGACTACAGTTGAATGATTATGAACAAACCAATAAACAAACGAGTGTTGAACGAATGGATTTATAGACCGATGAACGGGAAGATTTATGGGTTAATAGATATGAATGAATTAGTGAAAAAAATTCATAGACATACAAACTTGGGATGATTGTGAATAAACAAACGAAATATTGTCAAAAAATTTATGAACAAACCATATACACACAAATTTGTGAACAAATTTATTTACAGGCATAGAGGAAGGAGAGAAGGTGTAAATAAAAATATTAATTTTGTATTTTTTCATTTAAAAATATTAATTTTATCAGTTTTTTTCTTCGGCACCATCAATGTTGAACGGATCAAGTGAGTACGGGAAGGTGGAGGCGGATTTTGTGTACTTGTTGAACAATGAGATCGAGGAGTTCAATTCGTTTTTCATGGAGCAAGAAGAGGATTTCATCATCCGCAATAAGATAAGTTTGCACCAAACGACCTGTTGGACCGAGTGAAAGGAGTTCGGTTCCCCTTAAGTAAGGTCTTGAGTTCGAGTCTTGTGAATGGAGAAACAGGCGCTGGGAGAGCTTTCCTCCTAATGGGGTCCAACACGGCTCGATTCCAGATTTTTTTGAAATATATATATATAGCATGATCTTAATCTTTTTGTTTGTTAGTTAGTTTAGATTCTTATTTTCTGTTTTTTCGCCAGTCCAGTCTCTGTTTTTGACCGAGAAAGGAGGAATTTGTTCATCTGCAATTTCATTTCTAGTCTAAGTCTAACCCCATGTTTTGTTGTCTTGCATTTTAGAAATTAGAAAGTAGGACTGTTTTAATGAATCTTTATTGTTGACTCATTAAGTGTATTTATGTAGATATTCTATATTAAAGAGAAATTTGAACAAAAAATAGAATATAATAAGAATATCAATTTTTAATTTTTTTATTTGAATATACAAATTTTTAATTTTTTTATTTAAATATATTAACCTATTTTAAGAGATCCATTTGCTATGTTAACATAATTATCTA